GATGGTCTGTAGTTTCTTGGGTTGTTCTTATTTCCCCTTTTTATAGAGGGGCACTATATTACCCATTTCCAATCTTCTGGAATCTCTCCCAATTTCCACAACCTTTCAAAGATGATAGCTGATGGTTCAGATAAGTCCTGTATCAGCTCCGTGGGTATTCTGGGGTATATTTCATCAGGCCCTGGTGACTTGAAGACATCTAACTTTTCTCTAAGTCATTTTTAACTTGTTCTTTTCCTACTTTAACTTCTGAAGCATGAAGCAGTAGCATTCACTATGTTAGGCATCCTGTCACCTAGGCTGTGTTGCTCTACCGTAAGAGGCAGTACTTCCCCAACATAAGCTCTGAGTCTGAGTGTAACAAAAGAAAACTTTGATTAAAAGGGAAAAGGAACCGAGCATCAATTTAGAGGAAACACCACATCCCCATTGCAAGGCTCGTAGCTATAAGCAAGTGTCTGACCCACAGTTCACTGGGGCTATGTCTACACTGGTGGCTTCTTGAGCAAGGACATCTTGCTCAAGGGTTCTTATGCAAGAAGTCTTGTGCAAGAAAACGTTCACACTGCCATGTGCAAGCTGTGCTTTTGCGCAAGAGCATCCATGGCAGTGAGGATGCTCTCTTGTGCAAGAAAACTGTGATGGCTGTTTTAGCCATAGGAGTTTCTTGCACAAGAAATCCCTGCTGAGTGTCCACACTGCCTTCTTGCACAAGAGCTCCTGTGCAAGAGAGCTTACACCTGTTTAAAAAAAGAGCCTAGCTCTTGCGCAAGAAGCCCTTTCTTACCATGCAGTACTGTAAATTTCCTTGCTCAAGAGCAGGCAGGCAGTGTGGACGTTCTGCGGATTCTTGCACAACAACGGCCATACTTGCGCAAGAAGCCGTGAGTATAGACATAGTCTGGCAGTGTCCCTTGCTTCAGTCCTTGGCCAGCACGGGCTCAGAGGTGCTTTCCCATGGGCACCCCTCTGGCCCCTGAAAGGGAGAGAAGGGCAATCGGTAAGGTCTCTGCTGCTGCGGCCTGCTGCTATAGTCTGCCACTCTCACCAGGCTTCCTCTCTCGCTGCTCACAGCCGCCTCTGCGATGCCCTGGCCTGAGATTCCCCCACTTAACCCAGCCCCTAGTGATTTCACTGGGTAACAGGGACCCTCCCTGCTCATGCCCTCACCTGCAGGCCACTCTGTACACACCAGTGGTTCAGCCCAGGCTCTTGAGGTGGGGGCAGCAGCATGTGACTTGGCTGCCCTTTCCCGATCTGTGGAGCAGCCCCAGTCCCACCCTCTTGTAGTGTGGGTGGAGGTAACCTTTTAGTTCCGGGGCGCTGCATGCTGAAGCTGGACAGGAGCAGCCCCAAGGACGTGTTGCCCAGCACAGGCTATGGGGCCCAGGGCAGCCCGTGGAGACCAGGGCAGGCTGGGGCAGGAGCCAGTGACTCCCCAAGCAGGGTGCTGCTGTGGAGCAGGGCTGCCTGGTCACATGTTGCTAGTGCCCCATTGGGAGCCTGGAGCTGCTCCCTGCTGAGTGTTAGCAGGAGGCAGTGACAGGGGATGTAGGATGCACTGAAAACCTGTCTGGGGCAGTGGTGCCCAGACCACATGTGTAAAGTGGGTCAGTGATTCCAGTCCTGGACCAGCACCAGGGCTTAGCTCAGACTGGGAGCTGCCTGGCCAAGCCGTATCTCAGTGGGGTTGGGGTGCCTGGGCTAGGCCCTGGCTGCTGCTGCCTCCCAGAGCCAAGCTGAGCTGTGATACAGACCATGGGCAAAGGGCTGGGCCAGCCAGTGGCACCATCTGCTCTAGGGCAGGGCTGGAGCAGGCCCCTGCAAACTTGGGGGCTACGTCTAGACTGGCATGATTTTCTGCAAATGCTTTTAACAGAAAAGTTTTCTGTTAAAAGCATTTGCAGGATGGATGTTTTTCCACAAAAGCACTTTTTGTGGAAAAGCGTCCGTGCCAATCTAGATGCAGTTTTGCACAAGAAAGCCCCGATTGCCATTTTCGCCATTGGGGCTTTTTTGCACAAAACAGTTTTTAGCTGTCTACACTGGCCCTCTTGTGCAAAAACATTTCCGGAAAAGGGCTTTTGCCCAAATGGGAACGTCAAAGCATTTGCGCAAGTAGCACTGATTTCAGACAGTAGAACGTCAGTGCTTTTGCGCAAAATCAAGTGGCCAGTGTAAACAGCTGGCAAGTTTTTGCGCAAAAGCAATTGCTTTTGCAGAAAAACTTGCCAGTCTAGACGCAGCTGGGCTGCTCAGCCCATGTGCTGTTGCCCCTGTGCCCACAGCATGCTCAGGGGCTGGGAGAAAATCGCGGATGAGGGAGGCTGTGCAGGGGTCAAACCAACCCCATGGAGTGTGAGGGGTCATACAGCTAGTGGCAGGACCTGGAGAACAGCCCAGGGCAAATCAGGGCAGGCACCAGGCTTAAGAACAGGATTCAGCTTATGGATGTAAAGGACTAGTCGACTAATTGTTCCCCATCCCCCTTGGTACCACTATCAGAGGCAGCAAGGGGAGGAGAGAAGAGGGGGGTACTTAAAAGTGGTAGAGCCGCTTGGAGCCCGGGATCAGCTGGGGACTGACCCAGGGCTCCACACTGTGCCAGCTTTAAAATATACAAGAGTCCCCAGTGGGGGCTATTGTGCATTTCAAAGCAGAAGCTCAGCATGGAGCCTGGAGTTAGCGGGACTTTCCGCTGGCCCTGGACTCCACGCCGCGTTCCACCTTTGAAAGGTACAAGTGCTTATCGACTAGTCAAGTAGTTGACGGAAATTCCATTGACTACTCGACTAGCAAATTTAATTGCTACTTAACATCCCTAATCCAGCCCTGCCAACCCTTGGCAGAGGGTAAACCTGGACAAGGGAGAAGAAGAGGGGGTAGAAGTCAGGAGGGCAGGGAGAAGTGGGAGCCATCTTCAGTGTTTGCAAAAACAGCCAGTGGGGCAGATATGGTGTGGTTCCCATTTCCAGGATGGGGCATTTCAGGGACATTTCCCGGGGCTGTGATTTGAATGGCACAATGTCACTCAGGAACTGGACAAGGTAGCTCTTCCCTGCTGGATAAAGTGGATTTGCCTGCTAAAAGGGCTGTTCATGGAGAGAAAGTGCTGGATCCCCCAGGGCTCTTCAGTCTAGTGCAGTGGTTCTCAAAGGGTGTTCGTCTATGGCCGCCTCCGTGGTGGTCCTCGGCTTGAGCTCAGCCCCCTCCTCTGCCCCCACACAGTGACGAGCCTGCATTACCGCTCAAGCCTCACATGGCTGCGGCACCAGCTTCGGCTTCTGGCTCAGAGTGGCGCGTACATGCGCGCGCACAGAGCTACAAGTGGAAGAACGCCAGCCCGCCATGGGAAAGTCCATCTCGCCATTGGGCGTCTGCCTCACTTAGGCCCTGCTGAGCTTGCAATCACCATGGTAACAGCAGCGCTCCCATGGGTTGTTCCCACAGGGCAGGCAGCAGGTTGGGTGTTGCGGAGCCTGGCGGTGGTGGGAGGAGGCAGCACTGGGGCTGAGGAGCCCGCACATGCAGGCAGAGTCAACCACCATTACCGCAGTTCCAGCTCCAGTATGGTGGCTGCCTGGCTACTTCCGGGGCAGGCCATGTGGCAGGTGGTTTGCTCCATCTGCCAGCGCTGGGGCTGGGCTATGATCCAGCTGCTCCTGTGGCAGCCTGGCCAAAAAGGCCCCATTGGGGCCCAGCTCCCATCTGGCCTCTGTGTCCTGGCCACAGCCCCAATCCTGCGGTCGGGCCCCCATCTGCCAAAGAAAGGACTGGCAGCTGCTCCCCTCCCCCTGCTGTGGCCCAGATAATAGGGGAGGCCACAATCCAACTGTGGTGATCCTGGCCTGGCCCCTTGTCCAGCCATTGCTGCCTGGGTGCAGCAGACCAGCCCCAGCCAGGTAAGGTAATCTGGCCCCAGGGCTCCCCCACATACTCTTATTTCCCATCCCCAGCACCCTGCCTTCCCTCCCACCCCACACAGCCCAACCTCCTGCCCTGAGCCCCTCATACATCCCAACCCCGACTCCTGGATGTCTATGTCCCTAGCCCCCTGCCTTAACACTCCTGTACTCCCACACGCACCCTAACCTGTGCCTCGGGCCCATCATACACCTGAACCCCTACTCTGAGCCCGTCATAAACTCCAACCTGGCTACTGCACCCCCGTGCTCCCTGCCATATGATTGACAGAAGACAGCCTGAAATGTGCGTGAAACTGGCTTTGACCTGTTATAATGTAAACTTCAAAGAAATGTGCAAACAGATGCAGCAGTAAAAGTCCCATTAAATAAAGTCTGCAAATGCATAAATGAAACACTGTTGTTGTTACTCATTGTGCCAATTAGAAATAATATTAAGTAATATATTTTGAGTCCTGCACCTGGACATTTTTATACATCTTTGTTGACCACATGTTCTGAATTTTGATCTAGTTTGGTTCTTTGGTTTGAAAGGGTTGCCAACCCCCTGTTCTAGCATGTGAAAGAGTCTGGTGAAAATGGGGGTGTCCGAAGAATTAAAGCCCCTTGTGAAATGTCTCCAAATGCCCTTCTCCCCCTGACAGGCTGCAGAAAACCCATGTTTTGTTCCAGCTCAGCCCATGGCTTGCAGAGCCAGAGACAGGAAATGGCTGTGGCGGAGCCGGTGACCTTCGAGGAGGTGGCTGTGTATTTCTCTGAGGAGGAATGGGCTCTGCTGGACCCGGGTCAGAGAGCCCTCTACTGGGATGTGATGCAGGAGAATTATGAGGCTGTGAGCTGGCTGGGTAAGGATTCCTGTCCCCTTGGATATCAGAGGATGGGATGGCTCTGGAGCATCTGGGTTGGATTTGGTTCAGGGTCCCTCATTGCCCCCCTCCTCTCCAGTGTCAGGAGTATCAGCCCCAATAATCCTGGCTTGTGTGTGAGACACTGTCCCCTCCACGCCCCCTCCCAAGGGAACCAAATTCAGGGACATAACAATGGTGCTGCTCTTCCCACAGCCAAGGTCTCAATGTGCTTCCCCACCATCTTGCCCATGTTTTGCCTTGATGGGAAGTGTCAGCGGAATGGTCCAGGCAGGAATGGCAGGTACCAGAATTGTGGGGTTGGGTGAGGCTACTATTAGTGTCCACAGGGTACCCCTTGTGACAGTGTGCTGAGCTCCTGGAAGGAGGGTGCAGTCCCCAGAGTCCTTTCCTCCTGCCTGTGGGTGATCTCTGGGACATGCTGGTGAGAGGGGCTGGAGCTGAGGGAGGGTGGATGAGGCAGTTCATGCTCTGCAAGTGTCCTGTGGGAGGTAGCTCTGGAGTACAGGGGTTCTCAAATTTATGATACCGTGAC